ACTGGGACCCCATCTGGTTTGAACCTGTCCAGGCTGTGTGCAGGCTGCCACAGTCTCTGAACTCATATGTGTACCAGTCCTGTTGTGTCTGGAAGACGCTGTTTCCTCAGAGTCATTCACCAGTCACCTCTGGCTCCTAACAGTCTTTCTGCCTCCTCTTCTGCATATTCCCTGAGCCTTGAGGGGAGAGGGTTGATGATGGAGAAAAGACAGCATCTTCAGCAAATAGTGCTGCTCAAACGGGATGGCTGCATGCAGAGCAATGCAAGTAGAACCCTGGTTATCACCCGCCCTGTGCAAAACTCAACTCCAGATGGATCAAGGACCTCACCATAATGCAGGTACCCTAAACCTGGTAGAGGAGAAAGCGGAGATTAGACTTGAAGTCCTTGGCACAGGAAAGGACTTTCTGAACAGGACACGGGTATTATAGGCACTCAGTCAACAGTTAGTAACAGGAACCTTATGAATCTGAAACATGTCTATATGGCAAAAGACACAGTCAGTCAGCAAAGTGGGATATGGATTGGGAAGCTACCTTTACCAATTGTAAATCTGATAGAGGGTTGGTGTCCAAACATAGAAAGAACTAAAATGGCAGAACATCAAGAAGACAAATAGCCTAGTTTTAAAAATGGAGTACAGAACTAACTAGCCAGTTCTCAAAATAAAAAAGAAAGAAAAGAAAGAAAGAAAAGAAACACAAATGGATAAGAAACACTTAAAGAAATGTTAAACATCCTTAGCAGTCCAGGCAATGCAAATTAAAACTACTTTGAGATTTCATTTTGGCACGGTCAGAATGGCCACGATCAGTGAAGCAAATGACAGCTCATACCGTCAAGGCTGTCGAGTAATGGTACCATGTATCCATGGCTGGTGGGAGTGCTGACTTGTATAGCCACTCTGGAAATCAGTCATGGTTTTTTGGGAATCTGGGAATAGATGTACCTCAAGGTTCAGCTATAACACACTTGGGCATATAACCAAAGGACTCAGCATCCTACCACAGAGACACTTACTCATCTGTGTTCATTGCTGCTTCATTCATAATAGCCAGAAATTGGGAACAGGTTAGATGTCCATCAACTGACGAATAGATCAGGAAACCATGGCACATTTGCACAGTGGAATACTATTCGGCTGTTAAGAAAAATGAAATTATTACATTCACAGGTAAATGGATGGAGTTAGAAAAAAACCATCCCAAGTGAGACAACTTAGACCCCCAAAGACAAATATTGTATCTTTTCTTATATATGTAGACATATGCTTTTAAGCCTTTGATTGTCATGCTATCATCCAAATAACTACAGTGGTTAGGTACCTGGTAAGGGACTAGGGAAGAGGCGAGCATCTCCCAAAACAGGTCTAAGTGTTTGGCTTTACAGGTGCCAGACAAAAGCTATCATTGCTGAATTCCTGAGCCTAAGCTGAGGAGGAGAAACTAGGAAAATTAATAGGTGTAGAGTTTCTTCTTGGAATCATGACAATGGTCTAGACTTGCAGGTAGTTATATAAGATTAATATACTTAACATACTGAATTTTATATTCAAGAATGATAAAGGTTATTTCCATTATGAAATTCAAGACAGTAAGAATCATCCTCCAAAAGCACAGGGCACATAGTCTGTTGAATTTTATTTACCCTGCAGTCCTCAAACCAGGAATCTGGGTTTACCTGAAGGAGTTCAGGGGTCCTTGTCCCACTACAGAACGATGCTGGAAGATGAGTGTCACTTACATGTTCAAGGAAAAGTCCCTGTCAGTTTTAAATGATTGATATTCTGGGGATCATCAGAGTTAGCAATAGGATAGCATATAAAGTTCTGGACCAATCTGGAATTTAAAATGTGTGTGTTCTGCATCTACATCGTGGGTGTGTAAGGGTGCACACACCTTGCCTAACAAATGTGGAGTGTGGCTATGGGTGTGAAGTTAATGGAGACAGTCTGATATATTGCTCTTGGCTACAAGTTAGCTGGGAATTATTTTGATACAGCAAAAATAAGCCAGGGTAAAAGCTGTAAACTTCTTCGTATTGGTGCTTAGACAAAGTCTTCAGATATAGTCTATAAATTCACCTCCTTGAGACAGTCTTCCTGCCTAAAAAAAAAAAAAAATCAAATTGTATTACTTAACTCCAATGCAAAGAACAATTTAAAAGTAATCTTTGCTGTTCAGCTTCTGGAGTCTCCCAGGAGATATTAGTAGAGACTTCAAGGCAAATAACTATTGCATTTCTCCATAATGCCTTGCAATACCCACAGCGTTTGCTTTAGGTAAGCAGAGTGTTTTTCCAGTATAATTTCATATACTTTTTCAAGTTCATACCACACTTCTCCTTCTTTCAAGTCCAAAAGAACAGTTTCTTACTAAACTTCTACTACTAGAAGGTTGGGATTTGTGGCATTATACCCACTGGACTTCTTGGATTATCTTATTATACTTCATGTTCCTGAAAGTATTAATATAATAATTGAAGACAAGTTTCAAAATGGGATTTTTGTGTACCATAACAAGTGTCTGGAGAAAGACAGTCTGCCCTGTGTGCTTCATACAGTATATTTATCTGTAAAATGTTGCTAACCATGCTATGTACTTAGATAATTATTAGAATAACGCATGTTGATTTATGAAAGTTGGCCTATAAAACCTTATATAAATCATTGTTGAACATAACAGCATTACCTAGGATCCTGTACTTTGTGATATTATTTATTTATTTTTTCATGTGCAACAATGGAGCTTAAAGTTACTGTGAGGCTGGCTATGATATCCCAGCACTCCTGAGGCTGAGGGTGGGGGAATCATGGGTTCCAGAACTACTGAGAAACAATAGAAATATGTTTTTTGTGCATGTTACTAAATTGTCAACAGCACTGATTTATTGGAAATTAAATTTTTAATTGGAGGATTGTAAAGATAGTTCACTGGATAAAATGTTTGCCCCATAAGCATGAAAATCTGAATTTAGATCCCTAGAACCCACATAACAGCAAAAACTCAGCAGGTGTAGTGGCCATGTATAATCCCAGAACCCAGGAGATAGGGCATGTTTGGGACAAGCTGGCCAGCTGGACTTGGTGAGCTACAAGTTCAGTGAAGACACCGTCTCAGTAAATAAAGTGAAGAGTGGAGGAGAATCAACTGACATCAACTTAGGGCCTCCACACTCGTTCATGCTAGGTGACCTCATGCATACATGCATGCACACCACACACACACAGACCTGTGTAAAGTTTCATTGAGGTTGCTGTTTACTGTGTCATTCCTAATGCATTTTCCACAGAACCTAGAATATCCCCCACCTCGTGTGGACTAGTGGGTTTTGATCAAGCACCTTCCTTTATTTGCTCCTTGCCTTACATAAGAAGGGTTGCTTTCCTATGGCAAAGGTATTAGATTAATCATTCAGACTTCACCAGCACTTGACATCATAATTAATCCATATAAATTACCCTAGTGATATTAAGAAAATAATTTATATAATCTGTGATGTGAGAAATCAGTTGTTTCATTATTCATCAACCATTCTGGAGTTTTGATTTAATTTAGTTTGTTGTGTATTATTTTACTGCTCTATTAACTTAATGATCGGTGCAATTATTTATAGTTTGTGATATTAGGTAACAGATTTAGTAGGTATTATTATTCATGATGAAATAATGTTTATGGATATTATGGAAAATTCTATTTTAATCTGAATGCTGTTTGCAGTTTGATTATAATGAATTCTTTTCTTTCTCTAAGATTCACAAGAAACAACTGTAAATTTAATTTCCCATTAATGTAGATGTATCCTAATTCTTAGCATTGTTGCACATAGAATAGGCAGCTGACAGTTCTTACCCCTCCATTTGTTTCTTGTATGTTCATTTATGATGCTGTCTAGAGGGTTCCAGTGTCCAAAGAAGGACATGAATCCGTTGACACTCTCTTGTCATTTATTATTCCAAGACCACAGGTAATTGCTGGTCTTCTATTGCCACTTCTGTTGTTGGAAATCCATCATAGATATCTTTGTCCTGACTTTACAAATACATTGATCTTCTCATTACTACAACATAGGCTTATTTATATGCTATGGTTAATTTCCATTTATATTTATGGATTTCCTTGGCCATTTAACTCTAGACCTATAGATAAGAAAATATGGGTGCCCAACTCATATGTAATTCCCCATTTTCAAAGCTTGGCATTGAAAACAAGCAAATAAATAAATAAAAACAAGATCCAGTTTCTTGGAAAATTGGACCTGAATTAGCACATAAATTTACTTGTATTCTTTTTTATTAATTGTGAATATTCATACTTTTGTTATGTAAAAATTAATGCTTTGTTTACAGAATGTTGGCACTTTGATGGATAGATAAGCATGTGGGAAACACACACACATATATGTACACTATCGTATACATATACTATTTTGTCTCTCTAAAATCTGGGGAAAATCATGTATTTGGAAATACATTTGGTTTCATGGCTCCATCAATCTGTAACCATAAACACTGAATTGTCTAAGAATACAAAGTTTCCAATTAAGAATGTTTTAGTTTATCTATAGTTATAATGAATCAATGAGACATTTTACCATTAGGATTCATAGTTCTATACCCTTGAAATAAAGGCTATTATTAATGTGGATTGCCAAATTCTCCATGAACATCATTAGTAAAAGACTAAAGATTTGAGATGCCGAAGTGTCTGATCAAGTTTTAAAGAGACATTTGCCTGGCTTCACATGTTACCTTTAGGCACCGATGATGAATTTTAAGTTCATGCGAACCGACAAACAGCCATGTATTGTTTGAGTGCAATGATGAAAGTGTGTCATGGGATACCAATCTTAAGAAGGAAATTTTTGTGTGAGTTGTATTGTTGTGATAGTCACAGTTTCAAATAAGATTGGTTAAATAATTAGTTGTATAATCTTTTCATGAATGACATTGACATTAAAGTTTTTGCAACAACCTAATTTTGTAACTACTACTTTTAGGTATTTGCTACCAGGAAGTGCCCAGCTCCTCATGCGGTCATCACTGTACAACATGAAATATAATTCACCAGGAATGACTCGCTCCAATGTTTTGTTTACGTCCCGATACAGCCATTTGTGAGACTGAATGGAAGATTGCCATGGGCTATGAATAATAGCAATTCATTCATTTTCTCCAGTTGAACCTTAAGGAAGTGACCCTTACGTGATATTTTATGTATATATGTCATATAAGTGTGTGGAATACATACACACATGCACTCAAGTAACATACAAATATATATATATATTTATTATGTGTAAGAAAAATTAGCAGAAAACTGAATATAAGATTTAACGTTTCTGGAAATGTAATAAACCATGTTAAAGTTGTTTACACAAATATGCAAATGTGTAGAATTTGCTAGGTTTATACTTAATTGCTTCCTACTAGAAATGTTATTTTTGCTGCAGAGTATATAAAGCAGAATTGATCTTGAAGATCCCATCACAGTGTTAAATTATTTTCTAGATAACACAGCTTTGACTTCAGAAAGCACTAATAGTATCTTATTACTTCTTTCACTCATAGTAGCTATGTAACAGTGAAACACAAGAGACTTAAAAACCTGGGGTTAGCTTGATGATAAGATTAGGATAAAATGGGGTTATTGTTACTATAGCACACTGTAAAGTACTAGAAAACATCCCTCCAACATTTTACTCTCCATATGGAAATTTAACTATTTGTTCTAGTGCATATTTTCAATAAAGATCCAGATTAAATTGTGGTGTGATCTAAAATGGGAGACTTCCCAGTGGGCTAAGAACAAAAATGTAAACTCGCTTTAATTTGGCTTTCCATGGGGGGTTACATAAACAAGTGATGGCAACCCATAGAGCCTTAGCTGTGTGACTTTATGTCTCATAGCACTAGCTTTTCTTTGGAAAGGATATCCTTGATGGGTTTAAGTATCTCAATGTTGAGACCAGTTTACCTTGCAGAGCTTAATGATAGTAGTTTCTCATTTCACCTCAGAAAATATTCTAAAGACTCTGAAGAGGAGTCTACACTCAGCACATGTTACTATGCATGGGCTGACGTGCCTGCCCTAGATTGAGTCTTTTCTTCACTGTTGAGTGTGGCGTTGTCTTCCGTACAAAGGCATCATGCGTGTGTCCCCATCAGCACATTCCCATGCTCCCTTCTCTTGCCTGCACTTTCAAAACCAGTGTGTGCTTTCCGTGGCCCAGACACAGACAGCACAGTCATGGATTTTTGAACTCAGGAAGTGTAATATTTGCTCAAACTTCCCTCCAAGGCTTTTACTCACAGATGCTAAGAATTTGAAAAACTCAAGATTGTTTACCACCATTTCATATCCTAAAATCTATTTCCAGAAAACGAGGAAATGACTCCAAAGCAGCAGTAGTGAGAGCCCATCTGTCCCAAATTTGTTCGAAGTTGGGTCGATGGTGACCCAAAGTTGTAAAGTATATGGATTTATTTTAAGAGTATATTTTTTTCCTGTAATAATCATTGCATACACAAATCGCTGGTAGCTGCTTTACTTCTTTATGGCTGCCTACCCTGCACATCCCAAATGAAGCTTTTCTTACTGGCTACATCCCATGCAATTTCGTCTTGTGTTTCCAAAGGAGAATAAAGTCTCCAAAGGAAGAAAGCGAATGTGTTATTTAGGAGTCCATATTGCGAATTCTGCAATATGCTATATATTTCTAAAAATAAGTGATGCAAATATTGGAATATCACAGAATCTTTATGGGAATAGTCAACAGATCAGTCTGTTTTATGGTTTATTTGCAGTGTTTTTGTTTGCAATTCATGATTTAAAAATCATGGAGAAATAAAAGAACATAAAATCATGGAGATATGTTTTTAAGTGATTGGTAAGTGATACCAACCCAGTTTGTTGGTCATTTACTTCATTTATCTTAAATCACAAATGAATAATTAGGGTGTTTGCTTTGGAACTTCTGCCTCATACAAGAAAGGAATCTATACTTAAAACCCAATGAAACAGGGACAATCATCCAACATTAGAAATTCTCACCCTGGAAACACACATTAAGAACTAAGAGTAAATTTAAATGCATAGAACTGCCAAGTATTTGGTGAACAAACATCGTTTCCCTAGCTACTCAAGCAAGGCCTTAGTTTGAGCAGTAGGATTTCATTGCCTACATTTTCCTGTTTCAACTAGCTGGATATGATGAAGCTGTGCAGAAAGCCATGTGCTCATTAGTTATGTGCATTACCTGGTGTGCTGTGGACGGTGGTTGTCATAGCACCATCCCCTAATGAGCAGCTAAGAGAAGACATGATAATGAACCATGCAAGTCTCAGGAGGCCATAGACAGGTATTAGAGGTATAAAATATTCCCTGGTTTTTGTTATCAATTTCTTATGTGTATGGTTAAAACATATTTGCATAAGAGACAGTGTAGATCTCTCTTTAATGGTAGAGAAAGAAAACTTGAGTAACTGCTTAATCTCATCATTTTTTTTTTTTTTAAGAATGGATTTTGGTTTACTTTCAAGGGTAGAGGATAATTATAGACAGGCCGCCCTAGCCATTTGTAATGGTGGTAATGCTTCCCCAAACTGTAAGATATGAATATTTTCCAAAATGTCACTTGCTTTTTTTATGTCATTACCTACAAACATAAAGTCACAATGTAGTTTTCACTTGACTAAGACAACCTTGTGTGTTTGAATGTATTAAAATACTCTATTGCAATTCATTTTACTTTGCATGAATTTTATTTTGTTAGATTTCATTTATCTTTAATATGTGAACATAAAGTTTTATATGGAGTACAGTGTTAAGCAACTCTGCTGTCTGTAAGGATTTGCCTAAACGAGATCAAATCCCCTAGAGTTTCCATGGCTCCTCATCTCTAGAATTAAATTAATCCCAACCAAACCAAACCCTTTCTTTTACCTAATATTTATACACACACAGAAAATATGTGGCTCCTAGACTTCCAGAAAATGATTCCATTCCATTTTCTCTTTAGCTTGGAAAATAGATTGAGTATGGGATTATGCTGATTTGAAATTCCAAATGTTTGAATATAAATTTAATGCTTTCTTCTTTTACATGTCAGTGTCATTCTGTGTAAACATTATCTTCAAATTTAAACATATGCAATACACACTATTCAAAATACCAAAACAATAGCTGCATACATGTCATTATTTAATCTTCTATAAAGCACTGATTCATTCTTAAATATATACTCTTTAAAAGATAGTAAATACCTCAAGAGTGAAAGGAAATACCTTCCCTTTCTATTTAGCAATGCTAATTTGCATTGAGAATCTCATGCACTTGGTGATGGGGATTCACCATCAATAAAAAGTGTAGCTGTGCAATTGTGTTACTGTGACTTGGTGATTTGGGGACATTTGTTCTTCTCTTTAAATTGAGAGCTTCAAGTATAAACGGCCATGTTGTCTACATATTATTAGATACTTAATTATTTTCTGGCTAATGTTGGCTTGTAAATAATGGAAACTGCAGAAATGTATTCATAAAGAAAACTCGATTCCCCACACTGCTTCCTCTCTGTCCTATTTTCATTCTTCAGATCCCCACTGAAGCTTTAGATGTGCATGGACAAAGGAAAGGAAAGGAGAAATCTTGCTTTTTTTTGGAATTACAAACAAGATTGAATTACATGACAATCCCAGTTCCCGTCTCCCTCCCTTCCTCCTCTAGGAAATCTTGCCTTTTAAACATTGGTCTTCCTTGAATTCTTCAGTCTAACTCTCTCCCAACTGAGCTATTTTGGTGCTGTTTTCCTTGAATTCTTATAGTGGTTTTTTTTTTTCCCCAGGCAACAATAAAACTTCAATGAAATATTGGGTCAAGTTCGGTTTGCTGAGAACTTTAGGAACATGGTTGAGGTCTGTATGCCTAAAACACATGAAGTCTCTGTGAAGTGTGAGATACATGTTAACAGTAGAAATTAAAATAGCACACATTGAGATTGCCACTAATTTCTGTTAGCAGGGTCTGTTGTGAGGTGGTGTAATGGAAGGAATGCACTCAGGTAAACATGGTGATGCTGAGGGGGGCACCATCTAGGTAGAACTGCATCACCACCTGGGAACTTGAAAGCTCTTGGCAAACACATCACTCTACAGACTCACCGGTCTTAATTAGCAAGAAGGCATGCCTGGGAAAAGTGGTCAGATGTTTATTCTGTTTCTATCAAAGACCAACAGCCATTCTGGTGCCCGAGTTTAGATAGCAATGACTGTACATGCCACGACATCTGAATTTTCATGGACTTGCAGAGTCTGAGTTTGAGGGTGAGAGAATTGATGAATCATGAATCAAATTATGCTGTGTGCTTTACTTCCTGTATATGAACACAAATGTTATGGAAGATGCGCCTGAAATGTTAATAAATGTGCAGTTGGCATTGCCATGGCATGCTGTAGCATGTGACACCTGTGTGGAAAAATTACTTCAATTACTCAGATATGTTACTGCAATAAAAATGTCAACACAAGAAACCTATGGTCTGCCATCATTTGATTTCTGTTTTTATACTTGTACATGCAACACACACACACACACACACACACACACACACACACACACACACACACACACACACTGCTGTAAGGTGTAGGCGCAAAGAGTGGCACCCAGTTAAGCAAAATGAATTAAGCTTTCAACTTAATGAACACATTTTCACAGTAATTTTCCCTGCTGTGCAGCAACTTTAGGAGGCTACCTGCTACTAAGAATCAACCCAAGGAAATAAAATTGCTGTTGACTTCTCCTCACTGGGTGGAAGACAAAGTTAGTAGCAACAATTTAATATGACTATATATAATATTATCTCAGGAAAGAATTTCACGTTTTAGAAATGTATGTTGGCAATATTCAAAGCTTCAAAATGAAGCACATTTTAGTCTTGTTGCTGTTCATCACATTTTTTAATAACAAATTTCAGATAGCTTCCCTTGATTTGTTTGATATATTGGAGAAGGAATTCAAAGCCCCATGCATACTCAGCAAGGAGCCGACATTGAACTTTAGACCCGCTGAGCTTTCTTTAAAGAAAGGAGGCATGCCAAAGAAAGGGTCAGTCCCAACCAGGGAGTGGGGAATTTAGCACAGATAGCCCGAATTCTTGTAACTGACAAATGACATTAAAATGACTGTGTTTATGTGTATATACATGTGTTTATATGTGTGTACACCAATGTGTATATCTACGATCTGTGTGTGTAATATATATGTGTGTATGTATATGTGTGTGACTATATGTGTGTATGAGCTTGCCCACACTCTCATGTGCAGAGGCTGGAGAAGGTGTCCTCCTTCCTTGCTTTGCATCTGTTCTGTGAGATGGGCTCTCTCAATTGCCCTTGGCTCATCATGTTTAGCTAGACTCCCTGGTCAGCCAGTCTAAGGGATCATCTTGCCTGCTCCCCACAGTTGGCGTTACAGGTGCACAGACCATGTTCAGCTCTTGGTGCTGCAGATCAGAACTTAGATCTCAATGCTTGTGCAGCAAGAGCTCCTACTCACCAAGCTGTTCTTTCTCAGGCCCCAAAGTTGACTTTTAAAATGTATTTTAAAAATTCATACTATTTTTATAAAAATATTCTATAACTTTTTCTGAGATGAAAAAAATATGCCAATGTGTCTGGCTGGGTATCTACCTATTTTATCAAAGAAATAATCATATATTAAATTATACACATGTAATTAATATATATATATATATATATATATATATATATATATATATTTCAGTGCCATGAAAGTCTGAAAATCTTTAATTGTAAAATAAAATATCCTGGAATAATTTATGGCATTAGAAATCATCTTCAAAAGAAAAGGAACCCCTTTTATCAGGAAGATAATAGAATTTTAAACTAATTTGGAGAGTTGTGGTTTTTGTTTTTGCTTTTGTTTTTTGAGACAGGTTTTTTTCCCCTCTTTGAAGCCTGTCCAGGGAACTTGTTCTATAGACCAGACTGCCTCAAACTCACAGAGATCTGCCTGCTTCTGCCTCCTGAGTTTTGGGATTAAAGGTGTGCACCACCACCACCTGGCTGGAGAGAGATTTAGTGATTATTCTTCATACATTTACAGAGGGTGGTGAATACAGTGCCCATCACCATGGTGGCAAAAGTCAAGAAGAAAATAGTGAATGTAAAAGGTGGTTGTGTTGCACTACTGTCTAGACCTACTATGACTGAGAGGGGTTTGGGGGTGTGACTTGGTGGTGTAGAGCTCACTTCATACTAGTAAGTCACCATGTGCAGTCCCCATGCTGCAAAACCAGTCAAAACCCAAGAGTCTTGGAAGAGGAGACTAGAATATATGTTAGTTCTATACCAAAGTCACCATGGTAACTTGCTGCAATGCATTTTCCAAGACTAGTCTTCTATTGAGAGGACCTTGGGAAAAGAAAACTAAAACAGTCTACTTGCTGGTAAGCAGACAAGACATGTAATACTGCATTCTAATAAACAATGGTGTCATATTTACAGGCATAGAGAATCGGACCTGGTGCAAGAAGTGTGCTGGGGCTTGTCACTTGAGATTTGCTCACTTACAGAATATTTAAACCTGATTTTCTAGAGAAGTGGCTTGGGTCCAGCAAGCATGACCTGAAATAGAATAAACTTAATGATATGCAAGAATCAGGCAAGACATTTGCAACATAATTGTGATGTATAAAGTCATGTGAAATAATTTCAGAATCCTGTCAGGATGTGGTCAGAATGGCTAATGACAAGACAGTCCACATCTATTGGGTCCTTTGTGATAGGGACTTTTGTCTCTAATGAGAGTCTAGCACTACTCATTGGCAGTCAAGAACTTTACATGCTGTCTTGGTTCATCCAGAAGCACTCGATGGCCATCCAAAATCATATTCTCAAGCAAAAGGCCTGCTGCTGATGTAGGAAGATGGGATTTATCCAAAGCTTGTCACATTATTTGTGAGAGACAATATCTGTCATTTCAGATGTTTGCCTGTGCCTGTTTTATTTAGAGACACATGGTAGCATCTCTTCAGTCTTAGTAAGTTCTGTCACAGTTGTTTTATGCTGTACAAAATGCTGTCAGATTATCCCTCTTTAACAATATGACATAGCTATCCTTGGATGCATTTAAGGGGTATAAACTGAAATGTAACACCACAGTCTGAACTAAATGATTGAGAATTATTTTTAAGGTTTAATTTTAACGATGTGTATATTATGTGTGAGTGTATGTGGGTATGTGCACATGAGTGTAGGTACCCACAGAAGCCAGGAGAGGGCATCAGATCCTCCAGAGCCGGAGCGGCAGGTGGTTCCGAGTTGTTGGGAACTGAATTCAGGTTCTCTACAAGAGCAGGTGGTGCTTTTAACTGCTGAGTTGTCTCTCCAGCCCCCAGACTGAAGTATGTCATGCAGTTATAAAATATATTGACATTCTCATCAACTGAGGAGTGAATATCTTGGCTTCTCTATGAAAGGAACACTGATCTCCTTTGAACTATCATTTCATGCCTTCCATATTTGAGTCAATAATAGAAACTCGGAAGGTGAACGAATGAAACTGTCCTAAGAGTAAGTGTTAGTGGAGACACATCCTTTGCACATTAAATCAATTCTGCAATAACAAAACTTTCAAGGATAACCACAAAGCACTCATTTAGTCAAGCTCTGTTGTGTTATGGCTGTTCGGTTGCTTGTATGAGAACAAGATTCTCTAAAAGATCAAGGATGGAATTAATTTTGAAACCTGCAGCATTTTGTTAGCAGTAAAAATTTTAATCTGTGTGTTTATAATACATCTGACTTAGAGGAAAAGCATATGACACAGTATATCTGAAAAATCGAGAATATATAAACCTTAATACATTCTAAGAAAATACCATTTCAGCATATTACCTCATTTTCATTAAAATGATGAAAATGTGAATACAGAAAATCACTTAGTCCTCAGGCTAAAAATAGGTAGATCATCAAAACCTAATATCATTTTAGCTCAAATTGGTATTTGTTCAGTAAATGTTCTACTTCATAATGTGGAAAGTACAAAGGAAAAATTCAAATTTGGGCAAGAAATAGGGCTTTAAAAAACCAAACAAACAGCTAATTCTATTGTTTTGCCTTCTGAAGCTGAAGGCTTGCCATGAAATGTTTATTGCAAAAAAGAATAAACAGAGCCCTCTGAAATGATCGTGAGTTCATCCAGTACTGCAACATCTTAGCCTTAGGTTCTCCAGCCAGGTCTTGCTTATATTCAGTTTTCAAATTATATCATCTCTCAGTTCTATCCCATCCACTTCCACCTTTTCTCCTGTGAAGCACAGCTATGCTGTTTCTAAAATGAAAATAACATTAAGAACATAAAGCCAATCTTGCTAACTTTGCTTGTCTTAACTAAAACAGTGTGATCTCACACATATCTGAAAGTTACATGTGCTGGTTAGCTTAATTGTCATGGCAACACAACCTAACACTACCTGGAAGACAGCCATTGTGGTGTTGTATTGTTTGTGATCTAATAAAGTCACCGAAGATCAGAAAAGCAAAGCAGCCAGCCACTAGAGAGTTCTCACCTCTGCCACTCAGACCGAAGGGGCGATCCACTGAACCTCAGATTGTATCTCCAGACTGCACTGCTCTCCACCAAAAATCAGACTGCTCTCTGAGACTGCACTGAGCTCCTTATACACTCTCTAGTGCCAGAATTAAAGGTGTGTGCTACCACTGCTCAGCTTCTATGGCTGTGGCTAGCTTTGTATTCTGATCTTCAGTGGTTTTATTAGATCACAAACAATATATCACCACAGTCTCATGGGAGACTGTCT